ATATGTCAACTTTTAAATGAGGTCAAGCAATTTCTAATATTGGTTTAAGAACCTTTAATATTATTCCTTTTTGTAACTACATCTGGCTTCCATTTTTATTTCATTATTACAGTCTGACTTTTCAGTTTGAATGGTGACATTCTCTTATATTGTGTCTTATTATCATCTCTTATTATAATGCAATCATCCTTTTCCAGGATTTGATGGATTAAAAAAAAAAAAGACTTTACTGTAACTATGTAAATGTGCATATCCTTTATAGCAGGCCTTCTCAACTAGTTTATTAGAAGTGCCAAAACAAAAATTTATTGAGGTTGAAATGCCAAACTGTATGTTTGGTGACTGAGTTGCGAGGGAGCGTAGCAACCGAGCCGATACCGGGTGGGGTCCAGGGAGCAAAGCCCCCGGAAGCTAGTGGATTTTAGGGCTTTTTTAAGGCCCAGATGTGGCATTTTTAACACCTTTTTGTTCCATAAAACATCAATTATAATTTCATATTGATGTGAAGTAATTAGTACAATTCCTGGCTAAAATCTACACTGGAAGTTGATTTATATGTAGTTATTTTGGTGCAATAAACACGGAAAATGTCAAAATCAAGTGAAAATCAAACAAACAAAATGGCTTGAATACATTTTGGGCTCAACTTCGACTGCGACTTTTTGATTTTGCTGAGTTTTTTAAATTTTTTCTTTCTTTAATTTTTTATTTATTTTTTATTAATTTGGTGGAACAGCCGCGCGCCACTCAAACTGACCGCAAGGGCCACAAGTGGCACGCGCCGCCAGTTGAGAAGGCCTGCTTTATAGGGTCTAGTGGGTCTCCAAATCTTATTCATTTACCAGCAGTTGCCACCTTTACATTGGTCATGTATGCAGAGTTGAAGTTCAGAAGGGAGTCACATTCTGAAACCACCACCCCTCTATGAACATTACACCTCTTCCCTCCTGCCTGTTTGTCAAAGGTTTCCTGACATGCATCAACCCCCCCCCCCCCATCCTATTATCGTCTAATGTACCCTTATCACTTTGTTCCCATTCTTGAGTTAAGCATGGGGTACAGATCCGACACCCAGATTGCTCTCCAGTTTCACAGGGCTCTAGCGGTTATTGCACCTCCAAGGAAAGTTCAAGGCAGTCGAAGGCGTAGAGTTACCCCCATGTTCTTCCTTCTTCTTCTCCTCAACCTACCCCCCTCCACCCTCCTGTCAACACCCCAAAAAGATGGCAAACATACTTAAGACTTGTTAACCTTGCCCCCAAAATGGAGGGACAGGGTATTAAGTTTGGTCTATTTGTGCACATTTTTCTTCCTCTTTTTCTGCTTGTGCTGACAGCACTGTGGGATGAAATGTTTCTCATGTTTCATGGATTACTCAGTGGGAGAGAGAGAGGCTCTAGAGGCCCGTCTTCACTATCTCGAGATTGCCAAATATCCAGCTATTTGAACTATCCCGATCGCAAACTATCCAGCTAATCGCGTCTTCATTAGAACGAAGTAGCAAATTAGCTGGATAGTTGGTCGGGATAATATCCCAAGATATCTTGGGATAGTTTGCAAAATATTCTACTATTTGGCAAAATATCCAGCTATTTGTCCCGTGCGTCTTCACTAGACCGAAGATTCGCAATACACGCTAATGCTGAGCAAAATATCTCGAGCTAATTTCTCAAGGTCGAGTTTCTAGTTTCGAGGTCGAATCTCGAGATAGTGAAGACGCGATTTGTTACTTCGGGATTATTTCCCAAATAGCGGGCTATTTGGCAATCTCGAGATATTTGGCAATCTCGAGATGATGAAGACGCACCTTATGTATCATCTCTGCCATATGTCGTTCAAATATGGGCTATTTCACTGTGTGGGGTTATCTGACACTGTTTACAAGGAATGTTCTCTTTTCTAGGTGTCTGTTTGCAAGGTGTGCTATTTGAGGCTTTCATGATGTTTGCGGGCAACAATAATTCAGACACCGCTGTGCCTTGGTGTAACTTAATCATGCAAAGACTGATTTAAAGACATGATTACTTGTACAATCTTCGTTAAAAGAGTACCGGGTATTGATGTCAGTCCATTTTCATTTATTTTACCTTATTCTCTTCTTTTTTTAAATTACCCTCTGTAGCCAGCATAAGAAAGGACTTTTTTCAACCTCATAAATAAAGTCCAAGCACCTGATTGCTTGAAAGTTTTGACTCTCAAGGCTAAGGGGTATCATGTAGCCCTTCTTCATCATCTTTGCATATAGTGTACTATGAAAATTTTGATTCTATGAACAGAGCTTTAACATATTTATTTTCTAAATTTTTGGATAAAGACAACTTATAATAAGTTCAGATCAAGTGTTTATTGTTATGATTTAGTCATACCTTATTTGCTTTTGGTGATCAATCTCTAATTTATACCCCCCAAATGAAAATTTTCAAAGGGGGATGGGGTATTTGTTTCGTCAGACAGATATCACTTACCTATGTTGTTCACTTTTATTGTTCATGTACTATAATTAGTACTGGTACTATAATTATAGATAGTGATGCACCACAGAACACTTATTTTACAAAAGATTGTATAACTTTTTTCCAATAATTTGTTGTACCTTTATTTTGCAAAGTTGTGTCATTTCAACTTTCTGCTAATACTTCTGGGTGATTCATGAAAACACCTCTTTCCTGACTTTAAGCAACATATTAAATGTTGAGGCCACACGGTTCTATGAAATTACTATTTTGATACCAAGGAGTCACGCGATGTTGTGTTCTCTTTTGCCACTTCTGAGAGACTGGAGTAATGGCCTGTGTCACTTGAGCACTGTTATCTCCAGTTACGAGCACACAGTACAATTGTCTCTCATGTCAAATTGCCTCCGAGTGGATGAGAATTGTGGGATCTTTTTGTTTGTTTAACTAATTTCAATTTTAGGAATATGCCTGTAGATCAGTTATATCACCCACATGAGTAAAGATTAATGATTTTACATATTACAATGTGGAAATGGGGTATTATCACATCCATCATTATGATCAGCAGCAGCAGCATCAGTATAATAATCATCACCCACATTATCATTATCTTCATTATCATCTTCATCATCATCATCATCATCATCATCATCATCATCATCATCATCATCTTCACTATCAACATATGGTAAATGTTTTGTGCATGCAGTTGGTGTCTTTACTCTTTAATGTATTTTCCTGAATGCCAATATCCTTCTCTGATACTGATGATATCAGTGCCAAGTGATAGATGACCCCACCATCATCACTATCATCACCCTCGTCTTATGACAGCATCAGTCATCGTCAGTCATCACCATATCCTGGAGAGCATTGACCCAATGACAACTGAGCTGCATCTCTCAAGTTACCACAGAGCCTCTTCTCATAGATCCAATTCCTCTCTGTTTCCCATTCTCAACACATCTTTTGTTTTTCTCCCTGTGAGCTCTACCTCTGCTTCTTCCTTCATAACAGTGTTAGCTCCATTTCTCCCTGATTTCACAAAGCCCAATCTGTAGGCCTCTAAATACTACTCACTTTATCCTTTGCTTTTCAATTATGTATCATGAATTTCTTTCCTTCTCCCTCCGGTATGTTTCTTTCCCTGGGAGAAAAGAGGGTGAAGATGTTGATGTACATCTCCCTAGCAACTATCTCATCCATCCATCATCCTCCCACCCATCTCATATGCAGGGCGCATTTCTTTTTTCCTTCTCCTAACCGGATAGCATCAGAGCAGCATCATCTATCTATCTATCTCTCCGTCTCGTCCCTGCATATATACTCTACTTGCCAGAGGTCTCATAGATAACATGATCATCCCATGTTTGCATGCTTGGTATATCTCCCAGCAATCGCTGCTTCGAATATTATTTCGAGCGACGCTATCGAAGGATAACATTGTGTTCATGGTTTGAAATCCATTCCAGTACCCATAGGAATTGCCCAAGTATATTTTGTTTTCCCCTGATGAGGCAGTTTCACACATTGTTTTTACACAGTTTGAGTAAGATTCTGTTCTGTTTTTGTTTTTAGGTGATCAATCATCTTAGTTCTCTTGCCCTTGTCATTTATCATTCCACACAAGTTATCTCTCTCCTCTAACCCCTATTTATCTCTGTCTTCCTCTCTCACCCCCCCCCCCCTCTCTCTCTCTCTCTCTCTCTCTCTCTCTCTCTCCATCTCCATCTCTTTGGTATTAATCGGTAAAGCATTTCTATGGAATGATGTATGACATGTAATACAAATAATTGATGATGCATGATCACAACTGAACAACTACACAAGATACATCACACACATTTACACCTTTCGCATGTATCAGCACATTAGGATGCATTTACATCACTGCAGGGATGTCTTTTAGATGTACTCTGTTAAATCTGACTAATCGGTAAGATGATGAGGAAATATATAAACATTACCAAACCTTGTGATCGGCACTCATAAGAATTAAGGAACACTTATTCCCATTAAACCTGAACTCCCAGGCAACTAACTCATGACAATGTTAACACTCTTTTATCTAACCTCTGATCTTCTTGTATGTGTTTTTAGAAATTTTCTGATTATTCAGTCTTTTTACTCTTTTAATGTTTCAAACAAAGCAGTGCAATGTGTTATACCGGTATACTCTTTTGTGTGAGGATCCCAGAATCAACTATCCTCATTTGCCAAAAGGGAAAAAGGACTTGAAAATTTAGACCCACTTTGTTTTTGCCTGGCTCTTCTTTGAATTACAATTCAATCCAGACAATGGGTGAACAACACAGCGGCCAGAGGAAGTCTAAACGCATCTCTTGTAATACATCTGGCGATATCGTACGACGGGACCGATACACCGCACCGGGATTTGAGTCGCTGTCAGTGGGAACCCATGACTAGCCTTAAACGGCCATCAATCACTCTGCTGCCGTCAGACACGGATGAATTGTACCTCACTCACCTTACATAGCCGACAGGTGAAGAAGCGCTCAGGTGTAATGTCACCGTGCTGCGGACATGGATATGTCACCGGTTGCCATGGTAACCAGGCGTGAGCAATCGTCCGTCCTGATTCACATGGGTCTCGGGTATCCTAAACCGGAGTCGCTCTGAACTCAAGAGTTATCTATCTCGCAAGCTAATTATTTTTAAAAGAAAACCGAGCCTTGCAAAGAGCGGCCAGAGCAGCTTATTAAAAAGCCGGGTGAAAGTGGAAAACATATCCTCCGCTTACTGTATTTGAAGAGCAAGAACATCTATTCTATTATTCAGGAGTTCACCTCCAAGAAATGGAGATTCAGATGTCCTCATTTTGTGGCAGGTTATGACATGCTCATGATGTTAAGAAATCATTTGATCGCCATTGTCCTCATTTTTAGGGTTATTTAGGACATCTCAGTGTAATGGCAGGTGCCATGTGTTGTGATTGAGGGGAAAACTCCAAGTAACTCAAGAGTTATCAATCTTTTTTTCCTTCTCTTTATTAAAAGATTTTTGGAATTTTATTTTTCTTCTAAACATTTTCAATCTAAACAGCTCAGTTGTTGAATGTTTCCAGTTCAAGATCTGCTTTTAATTTGATATGTTTTTTTATAATGTGTACTATAGTGTCAGGCACATGAATTTCCATATTTATTGCAGTCCTTTTTATTTGTCTCTGTTTTCTTTTCACCCTATGTTCTCTTCGATGATAATAACATCTTGAGCTATTGAATGATCTCCTGAATCCAGTGTACCAAATAGAAACCAGTTTCTCATCATTCAAGCTCAAGACGTTATCTAAGTGTCTAAACCCCTTCCAATGCTGAGTTATGAATGTGCTATCATCACTTATCCTATCCCATGTTCTCATGTCTGTTACTAGCAGAGACACATAGCTTAGCATGATCATCTAAGCACGGTCTGCCATGAGCCCTCTTAATGCTCAATTGGAAGAATCGTTTCATTCCGCGGCTCCTCTCACAATCTCTCTTTTCTGAGGCTGTCTAGGGCGGAAGCATTCAACATTCAAATCAACTGGAGGTTACTTGTTTTGTAGTCTGTTCAGCCTAGTGAGTTTTTTAAACAAAATTCATAAGAAGAAACATTGTATAAAGAAATATCCTATAGGATATAGGGCATAACGGGCATAGACGTGAGCAAAAAAAAAAAATATATATAAATATAAAGAAACATGAGGAACCTGGTTAGAGGGAGGTCAGTTGACACTGTGGTATTGCACAACATACAAGATAATAGCTGTTCAGTCATATATCAGGGCGTGTTCATGATAAACTCTGTCCACTTATACATGCGGATTTCACACTACCGCAAGTGGACCCTGATTCTTTTCATTCTATTGCAATGCTCTGATTCCCCTTTATACGACATTCAGACTTTTCGAGTTTTGTCGTACTGTACGGCTATACAATGAAATTTGCTAGATTTCTTGTTTTCATTTGAGACAATGCTCACATCCCCATTTCGCTATGCGGTATTTCGCCAATAAAAAGTCACATCTCCCTTTTTAGACTATACAAAAAAAAGTGTATAACTATTCATATTTTTGTATAGCTATGCAATGAATTGATCCAGTCTGAATGAGGGGTTAGTCGCTCACTGATCAGCTGTGTAGCAGGTTGATAGATGATACCAACCATGAAAGATGTACCACATCTTGATCAATTCGCCTGAGTTGTACATTCTGTTTGCTGAATTTTAGTGACATATTCCAAGGGAAGTAATGGCTCCCTCTAAATGTGAATTGGGATAATTTAATATATTGTGGTTTGATTCCTTGGATGCCCACCAAGAAAAGAAATACACATCAACATTAAAGAGAACTCCTGACAGCATCTTGAAAGATCTAAAGTCATGCTTTAAACATAATTATTTGCTTTTATAGCAAAGATGTTGGGTCAGTTTTAGAAGATATAATTAAGTACATTGTGAATTGGGTAGGCTTTAATTTTTTCCACAGAATTTTTCATGGGCTTGAAATATGCCCACAATACTAGAATAAATGATATGTGCAGTGTTTCCAAAATCCTAATGTAGGTATCTATTATCTAAACATGACAGACATCTAAGATTTTTTGAGGACTACAATGCTATGTGAATAGTATAGATATCTGTTAGTTTGTCTTAGTAAAGTTTAGGATTATAATAAAGCTGGAGTTAGAGATAGGAGTATGACCATAAGGTAGGACTCTACACTAAATTTTTTTGTGAACAGGTTTGGAACTAAACTTTTTACAGTCTTTATATATGAGCCCTGTTTTAAAAACTTTAACATTTAGGGGGTCCAGACTTAGATTTGGGGCGACCATGTGTCCTGGGTGCATGTTAGTGTCGATAGGTTAGATTCAAGTATGATTTATATGAATCTTGTAGCTGTACACTAGATATAACATTTAGCTGTATTTACCCTCTCTGCATTTCTTGAGTATTTTCAATGTGGTAAATAATAAAGAGGGGGTCATATTTGACTGCGATTGACCTCAAAAGCTCATCTTTTAGTTTCAATCTTCATATAAGCTGTAGCCTGGTGGAGATGGCAGAGAGACTGTCTGGCAGGCTCCATACAGATATGGAAAGCAGTCTGCTTCATGGTGTATTAACCCCCAGTAGATAGATCAGCTGCTCAGGGAATCTGTAATGTGATAATTCCCGTAGATGATTCGAGTTAGGAAGAAATCAATGATGGACTGATTTCTTTCTTTTGATGTTAACACTGAAATACTTGACGATGAAGAGACGAGAAGAGTTGTGATTTTAGAAAGGCTCAAAGCTAGATTTGGGGGCGTTTCCCTTTGTTGTAGAAATATACTCCCTGTTATCAAACTACATTGTTAATGAATTCTTATTATAGTCTTTCAACTTCTATTGTTGATTTCATGTCGCACATACTCTACATTTGCTTGTATAACATAAGAAAATACCACCATCCCCTCTGGAAAAAATCACTTTAAAAAAAGATTCTTTGAAAACAATGTAAAATGTGATGGAGAGATAACATATGATAATTACAATCAGAACAATATGGACAAAAATGTAAATTTTTAAATTGAAATGCTAATTTAAGAATATGTAAAACTATGATAACCTTGAATAAAAAGATGGGGGCGTAAGCAACAAGCGATGACAAGAGAAAGGGAAATGTAGGATTGAAGGAAGGGAAAGAGACAATTGAGATATTAGAGTGCAGAATATGAAGGGGAAAAAACCTGAAGGGGAAATGGGGAGGCAGCTATAATCATGATGGATGTATAGCTGAAATTCAAGTCAACTTTGCATTAATAGCAAAAGCACTGCACATGAAAGATAATGTGCATTATTTAGCAGTTTGTCATGAACTCATGACAAGGCAAATCCAAGCATGTCATATTAGTCAAGCAGATGTCACTTACATATACAAGCACGTATGTACAGAGACCAAGGGGTTGCTAAATAGGAGAGATTTGAAATACAATTATAAGGGTACAGAGTAATTTTACTTGCTTAGAGATGTTGAAGTATTTATTTCCCTTTATTTTAAAAAATCCTACAAACACTCAGACTCTTTTAAAACCTTTTGTAGTTGTCAATATATGTGATCCTTACAAATACTAACCATTTAGTATTGCCTTTAAGATGTCATGCAGTAAATGAAAAGTCAGTGGATATGTGGACCATATTCTGAGTTCTTTTTTGTGAAGGGGGCACGTAGTATTTATAAAGGGATGAAGATATTTAAACAAAATTAATTGTGCTGCACAGCCTAAACTGTCTACCAAGCTAATTTCTTCGTTTAATTTTTTAATCATTCCAAAATCTGTAGGGAACCTTGGAGATTGATTGATTAATCTCAAATTAAAAGAAAGGAAGAAGAAATCATTTGGAAGATTTGTGGAGGATATCAGTCTGCTTGGAAAGCTTTGACTGCTGAAGCTTTCATCAGATTTGAGGGGATTTCTTGACACGGCTCCTCCTTTTCCAAGTGATACAGGAAATGTGTCTCCTAACTAGCGGGCCGAGAGGAATCGGGTAAGAATCAGGGTGGAGTGCGTGCACGGAGAGAGAGGGGGTTCCTTGTCTAGGTCTAGAGCTCAAAGATCAGATTCTAGCGGGGGATTGAGATGGAATACAATCCGAGGAGTGAAAGATATACAGGGTACAGATCATTTATCGGTTACAGCTGCCAAATGTTTTGATTTTTTGTACAAAGGAGTGTTTGAAAGCAAAAACAATAAATATGAAAATTGTGCTTGAGTTGCTTCCTTCTTTTCCTTACTCTCTCTCTCCATTCATATTTTTAGTGTCACTGTCAAATTATAAATTGTGCTTGAAGACCATCACTCTCTCCTCTTTCCTTTCGACTCCCCCCCCCCCCCCCTCCCCCACCACCTCAAAAAAAGAAATCCTCCTCTCTCTGTCTTTATCACTTTTCTACTTTCACCTTTCTTTCCTCGATCTCTCCCTCCCTTCTTCTTTACTACCATTTATATACCTATATCCATCTCTCATTGAACCTGTCATATGCACTGAGGAAAGGGGGATAAAGATAGGAGCAAAATCAGCGAGATATGTAAAGTCACATGAGGAAATTTGACCGCCAGACTATTACACAATATAATAGTATAGAAAATAATTTAATGAATTGTGCTAGAGCTATAACTTTCTGACAGTCCCGCCTGTCAATTAGCTCCGCCCATATCTGTGAGGAGACCTTGACTTATATCAACCCCACGTTTGTTATGAAGTTCAGAGCTTTCCCCATTGGTTTACAACCGCAGCAATCACTAAGGAACCCCACCCACGACTACGACATGATGACATTTGGGATGTTTTCCATCAGGGCGGTTAGATGCTTTCCAGATTGCTTTATAAGTAGTCCTCCCTGGCTGATAATTCAAATAGAAGGGAGAGATTTGTTTTCTTGGGATGACTTCAAAGCTATCAATAGGGCTTACATGAGTAAGGGTGGTATCAGTGATTTACATCTGTATTATTGACGGCTTAGATTAAGTGGTGGGTGAGAAATATCAGCAGTAAGTCTGTTGGCTTACAAAATTATAGAGAATAGGTCTAAGGGCTGCTTTCTAATTTGCTTAAATAGCAAAACCTGTAC